CTGTCTTTCATGTTCCCCAAAAAAAACGAAATGACTTTCCGAACAACCCAATAGTTATATGTCCCAAACTGCAGACGAAGCCCAAAGCTAAGCGAAGATAACGCATCGCTGACACCGCCTCAAAAGCTATATTTATTCGATTGTAATTTTGTAAAATACGCTCTTAATTATTCCAACCTTTGTAACGGCCAGTTCGAATAAAACTTTATTTCGCTTTCCGTGTAATAAATGTTTTTAAAGACGCTCTCCCGAATTTTGAACATTTAAGTAGGTCGTGCTATTTAAAATTTGAAAGTTACTGTCGTTTCCGCTTATATTGTCAAAAAAATGGACATTTAGCCTATGCTACATAATTTCCATTTAATGTAAAAAATAATATATAGGGTGTTCCATTTAAGAAATATGTTTGCTTCATGTCAAAATCATCGATAATCGAATAATGCTTATGGTTGATAATACAATTCATTTGTTCCGGATTATCGAGGTCGCACTGTATTGCCACCTCAATCGTTGGCAATGTTATGCCCTTTTTTGTGTGTTTCCTCCTGGTTTTGTGTATTATTTCGAAACCTAACGAGACGTCCTAGCGACAACGGCGGCGCGGACAAAAATAAATAGATAAATATTCATTCAGTGGGTCAATGCTTCGGCCAGTGAGAGGCGCTTGGCGGAGGCGCTTGCGCCAGTCTATCCTTGGGACCGCATGCACGCACACGATACGAATACCGAAATACACTCCGCTAAAATCTTGCACAAACAAAACGCCCGAATCTTATCTACCGACGGAACTCGGAAAGAAAAAAAACAGCGCGGTGAGCGATTTGACCGAAATTTGATGTTCCTTCCGGGCCTTTGGCACAGACGTCGATATCACGCTACATTATTTATTGTATTATTATTATACAGGGTGTTTTGTAATTCAATGTCAATAATGAAAAAAGAAAACTTCATATGAACATACCCAGATAGTGCGCAACATCCCCAGTCAATGTCCCATTTGAAGGATATTCTTAGGCTATGCGTTGGCATATATATACTAAGCATACACTGTAAAATACATCCCAGGGATATCCTATGAATGGATACCTTGTGGATTTACTGTACACGATATACCGCAGATATCCTCTAAATAGAGGATATCCCCTTGCGCCATAATAGGAAAATAGAATAAAAACCTAAAAGTTAAATTCTGAACAACTGAGAAGGAAAATACTTATTCTTTTTACATTTGTGGTGCTTTGGGAGACATTTTATTGACAACGTTCTTGTGCACATCTACACTGACGTCAGTGTTGGCAAGTCCGAAAAAAAAACAGAATGAAACCGTTAAAATCAACTTGTTTTTATTATTTTTTGGACACGAACGAGATAAGAAACGCTATTTTAATTAAAATACGACAGAAAATACGGATTTATCTAAGTAAAAAAATTACAAAAACGTAAAAATAATATACAAGGTCACACTTGACCACACTGTTCGGCAGCAACCAATAACGCGATCGTGCCGTGCCTGACTCGCTCGAGTCTCGTCGTCCGCCATTTTTTCGGCCTTGTTTTTGTTGGCGGTATATGGTATATTTTCAGTATTTTATATGCTGTGCTTATCGCTTTCAGTGCTTTCATTTCAGTTATTTCAGTGTAATATATAATAATATATAACATAAGATTTGATAAATTCCAATCTGAACGAACCATTGTTGTGTAGTCTACCAACATTATCCCTTGTTTTTTATTATCACTCGCAACGGGCTAGGACAAATTGGACAGTGAATTCAGTCAGCTTTTATCTTAGCCGGTGGCTGTAATAAATAGGGGGCGACAATGACAACAAAATATTCAAAAGATACTCACGGGTTAATAAAAAATATTCTTCTGAATGCGATAAAATTAGCCTACATTTTTTTGGAAACAATAATTGATCGTGTGCACTGGAATTCATGTGTCTTGCGCGGATTTAATACGCGTCGTACGTCCTGTATCTTTAAAACAAGCACCCTTTTCCTAATTCGTATTCGTATTATACCTATCTAGTATCGACTGAATCCGGGGCCATCCCCCCCTCCCCCCCTTGCAGTTGTAGAATTTAAACATCAAGAATAGTTTTCGGTAAACGTTTGGGCTGGAATTATTGGAAATTACTTAATTGGACCCTGTTGTGCACAACATACCAGTTACGTTAGTGTTTCTGATCAAATATGGCGCGCAAATTTTTAACTGACAAAGAGCTTGAAACCATTCTTATGAGCCATAGCGATCTAGAAGAAGGGTTAAGAGTATCTGGAGATTCCGAAGACTCAGCCAGCGACCTGTCTGATGCTGAAGGCGAACACACAGACCACAACACTGAATCCGAAAAAGAATTGTCAGATGGAGATATTATTCAAGATGACTCGAATAATTCCCTCATCTGATTAGTTCTACGGTAAAAATGCCCTAAAGCGTGATCGTCGAACTCCCGCATTTGAGAGGACTAGCAAGACTAACTAACCCAACTAGTCCCCTTGAGGCTAGGCAACTTTTATATATACTAAAGCAAAGATTACAGCATTGAGTCCTAAATGTCACAGGAACAATGTTACGTACGTTATTCATTTAAGTATGTCTGAGCTCAAGACATTTTTGAGTTTGAATATATTAGCCGGTGTTTTTAAATCTGGGAGAGAAGACGCAGACTCTCCCTGGGCTTCGTTTCTTGCTTTCATTATCTGCGATACGATTTGATAATGCTGATACCAGAGCACACCGAGTTACAATTTTATAAAAAATTTCAGTACCAATTATACATGTTCAAAGTAAACCTGCAAAATATGAGCTAAAGATTATGTGCCTATGTGATGCTAAAGCTCATTATCTGATCGATGCGTTCATTTATACCCTCAAGAATGTTCTAAGAAGAAACCCAAACAAATTATCAATCCCAACTTTGGACGTTTTAGATCTTGTTTCACGGATTGAAAACACGAATAGAAATATTACATGAGATAATCGGTTTACATCTAATGAATTAGTGTCTGAACTTAAGTCGAGAGATCTAACGTACGTCGGTACTACACAAAGTTGTACTGGGCACAGAACACTAGTTCCAAAACCAAACAGGAATGATGACGTCAATAGGTGTGAACAGTTTGGATCAAAATTGTGCAATTTATTCTTGTAGCAGAAGTAGTCGATGATGGCCTCTAATATCCCTAGGGAAATAAAAAACATAATAATAAAAGCACTCGGAGTGGCAAAACAAAGTCAACCCGACGCCACTGATTCGCAACCTTCTCCTCAAGAAAGAATGACAAATGTGGAAAACTCGTTTTAAAGCAACATGTACGTAAGAGCGAACATCACTGTCATACTTTTTATAAAACTTCTGGATTCCTTCTGCTAAGTCGAACTGGCTAACGTTTCGGCAACCATCCTGTTGGCTTCTTCAGAGCTTAATCCAGAAGTTTTATAAAAGGTATTACAGTAGCCTGTGGAAGTTTCTTTGAAAAAAAATTAACGCCAATGTAATTTCTTCAATTAAAATTCTAATAACGTTTTTCTTTATTTGACGTCGATTTGGATGAATGAAAATGTTAGGGTTTTAGTGCCAATTTTGCGGTATCCTGCAAACATTTTGTTTATTTTTTGTTACTAAATACATACTTTATAATTTTGTACGATATTATAACAGGTTTTTCAACATTATGTTACCTTGTTTCTTAAAAAAAAAACATATTTGACATTCAATTAAAAAACAGCCTGTACATTTTTTCGAGGAAATAAATAACTTTTAATATACAGGCTGGTAGTTTTCAAAAATAAAATACAATTAATCCCAGTGGCGTTCATACAGAAGTTCACGTGTCTGTTTTAACAGGCATTGATGGTACGCCACTCATTCCTCGTAAAATAAAAATTATTCTCACAATCTCGAATCATTTCGAAATAAATTTAATTCCTTGATTTTTCCCAAAAAAAATAAAAACCACTTTTTTTTTTGCTTGTACAGAGTGGTCCAAATTCGAGGGGCCTCTATGTCTTTAAGCATAGTTAGCGCAAAACTAATATGCATGTTACTTGCTCCATTTACGAGAGAAGTCGAAAACTAAAAACCACATCATGATATGTCAGAGCGTTTCATAAAAATGTGCGTTTCTAAAAACCCTCTATAACTTTTTTATTTGTAAAGATAGTGATTTTTTTTAAAACATTTTTTGAAGATTTTTTAAGGGCAAATCTACCGATTTGAGATATAACTCCAAACTTACATTTTTTTAAAAATGAAAACCCCTTTTTTTTTAAATTAGTTTTCTAATAAAATTTCCTGATTTTGCCAGCAAAGTTATATAAGACAAAAAGATTCCCGCTTAAGAAAGTGTTTTTTGCCAAAACTCTATTCTTACAATTAATAAAGCTATAGAGGGCCTTTAAAATCGCACATTTTTGAGAATCACTCTGTAGCTCAAAAAGGCCTTGTCATATCACGATGCATATGCATACCAGCTTTCGCCTAACTATGCTGCAAATGCTGCCATAGAGGCTCCTCGAATTTGGGCCACCCTGTACAGTTTTAAGGAAATAATGTGACAACAAGATAAATAACAAACGATTCTTACTGAGATTTATTTTATTTATTTAAGTTTATGTACTTTTTGAAGTGTTTTAATAAAACACATAGACGATTACTCAAGTTAGAAATAATACTGATAATAGTATAATAGTAATAGCGTATATGTTCACATAAAGTCTTCTTTTTTCAAACACCCTCTATTTTTGGAAAAGCAACCATAACGGTCGGACGGATCTTTATCCCGAAAATGGTACAGTGGTACAGAAATGGGCCAGATGTGAAGAGTTAGATGGAAGGAGTGTAGTTGAAGACATTGGCATAACTGATACTCTTAAATATGAGCAATAGGGTCTTATTGATGCAGGACGCCATTTTCGTGCATACGTAATATCAATATTTAACATTATTTAGAAAAAAGTTCGAGCCTTGAATGGGATTTGAACCAGGAGCGTACCGGTAAAATTAACTAACGAAAAAGTCGGTGGAACGTCAATTTTCGCCAGGACTCGGTCTATCACAAAACAAGTACGTACCGGAAGCATCCAACGGACATTATCGATACAACAATTTAACTTTTTTCACAACGAATCGCCTTTCCGCCACCGAAAACTCGCACGTACGGACTTGCGCAGCACGACAGCGGAAAAATCAGTTGGCCCTGCAACGTACGTCGTCGATATTTCGCCGCGTGTGCTTTGTTTTTTTTTTTTGTTTTTTTTTTTCGAAAACCTCGACGACCGTTGCGACACGGGCGACACCGCAGAGAAAAAACAACCTAACCTACCCGGAGCACATTTTAATCGGTCACCACACTCGCGTATCTATTACGACCTCACCCCCACCACCCCCGAGGACCGGCCGAATAGCTTTTTCTTTTCGGTTCAACGGCGGGCGGCTTTCTATCTCTCCAGCAATGCGTCCGACGCGACGTACGTAACGACGTTAGCGACGAAACTGGCCTGCTCCAGCCAGCCGCAGCCCGGGCTGCTAGGTCCCACGGGCGCGACGTTGCCAAGCGTCGCGGACGCGATTTCCCCGGATCGTCTGACGACTAACGTCCGCGGTTTTGATTCCGTAACTCTGCGGCGAAGAAATCATCATTATACATTTTTTTAATTTTCAATTTTTCACACATGTACATTGGCTGTAACTTTTTACTTTTTTGTTTTTAGAGTTAACAAGATTGGTTTCGAAAAATCGTCACTGGGCGGGGCAAGTTCGTCGCAAGTAGCGCCAACCAGCGTCGAGCGCAGATACTTTCGAAAAATCGTTTTCATCGATTTTCGAAACAAGGTAAATAAAAAAATAAAACGTAGGGTTGGTAGCCAAGTGACGTATAAAACAAAACACTATCAATTTACTGACATTTTAATGGAACACCCTGTATATTATATATGTGTTTAATAGAATTTCTTATTAGTATTACAATAATGTAATACACTTTATATTTTAGTCCACTAGTTTTGGTTAGTTAGACATATTAGTAAACAACGTTGATGGTTGAATTATTGTCCAAGTCATTATTGCTAAAATGGTGTTTCGCGAATTTAGCATGAATGAAAGGAGTGATATGCTTGAAGTACATTAGACGTTATCCAATAATAATCATCTTTAAAAAGGGCGACAGGCATTCTGCAGAAAATTATCGTCCAATAACAATCACATCATGCATTGCCAAAATTTAATTATTTAAGTAAAAATTTTGTCTGAAAGTCAGCACGGTTTCAGTACAGCTAGATCAACCCAAACAGCGATTCATTCCTTTTTGGAGCATGCTATCAACTATATTGAGTCTGGAGAGCACCCTGCTGGGATATTTTGTGATCTTAGCAGGGCGTTTGACTGTATGAACCACGAAAATCTTTTGAATAGGATGGAACAATGCGGAATTCGTGGAATAGCTTTGAACTTGTTCAGATCGTACTTAACAAATCGTAGGCAGTATGTTGAAATAAGGCAGGAGAGGGGCAACTTGTGTCAAATTAAAAAATCTCAAGTACAATCTGTAGATAGAGGCGTGCCGCAAGGTACAGTGCTTGGCCCTGTTTTATTTATCCTTTTTATCAAAGAACTTTCTCTTTGTTCACTTACCTAGTTTGGGTTTATCAGACTTGGCTGACTACTGTTCAAGTTTAGTGTTCTCACCCTGTTATCAAACTCTTCAAGACATAATTGCACTGCTACATAGCTGGTTTAACACCAATGAACTCTTTTTGAATGTCCAAAAAACAAGTGTACTGATATTCAAATGCCCACAAAACAAAAAAGATCTCTCTGTGAATGTCTGGTCGGGCGGGGAGGCCATTGAAATAAAAAAGCACGCTAAATTTTTAGGACTAGAGCTCTATCTTGGGAAACTCAGTGCCAATTACTTTCTTCAAAGCTGCATAGTTATTGTTTTGCTAATAAAAAAAATTAAAAACTGTTTTGACTGGAAAGTGCATGATAAATTTCTTCTATGCTCACATCTATTCGAGATTGCTCTATGGTATTCCCTTTTGGGGAAATTCAAGTAATGCGGCATCTGTTTTAAAATCCAAAAAAAAAAACCTAAGGTGTATTGCTGGAGTGTCGGGGGATAGTTCGTGCATGCCCCGTTTCCGGGAGTTTAAAATCCTACCTTTGGCGTGTATATACATATTAGAAGTTTGTTTATGGATATATAAAAATAAAAATATCTTACAAAAAACCGGAGGTTTCCACGACTATAATACACGTAACAAAGATTGTTTCTCTATAAAAAAAAAAGGACTAGAATTGTATAGGTTTACGCATGACCAATTTCCATCTAACATGCCCCTTGTGGTCTTAAGCAATGATGAACGCCTACGTGGTCATCCATTTAAAATAAGAAAGGAACAGTCCAGGACTTCACATCGCCTGCATTTTATAAGTAACAGGACTTTCGATTATTGGAACAGTTTACCCCCCGATATTGTGTGTGCGCCGAACTTTTCTGTATTTAAACGTCGCTTGGACAGTTGATTGTTTCACAGCAATAACTAAATATTTATTATGTCTATTATGCTACTAACTATCAATGTGCATAACAGGTTCTCTTCTGCACTTTATTCTTTGAAATAATAATAATAATTTTACCTATTAATGTGTGTCATCACTGTATTGTTGTGCTCTGTCATAAATTTCTATTATACAAATTTTAAATGTAATTTTCTGCCTCATTTGCATGATCTATATTGACCTACTTAACAAAATGCATAATACACTAAATATTGTAAATATGTGGGATAATAAAGATATTATTATTATTATTATTATTATTATTATCCAGAGCGCCGCACTCCTTTAAAACAGATGTTTCCAAGGATAGCAAAAAAATTTGCAGAAAACGGTAACGTATTAAATGCTTCCCGAATCATAATGTTTTAAATGAGGAAAATAAGGCAAACATATTAGGATTCTAGGAAGCACATCCAGTGTCCTCCACTACTAGAGTATATGAATTGAATCCACTCAGTTTTGAAAGAATATAAATATGTCTGAAAACAAAAAAGTTGAAGCCAATTAAAATGTTATCAAGACAAATTCAACGCACTGTACCTACCATGTATCGAGAGGCGTTTTTTAGTGTATAGTCTACCACAATTTTCATAGTGCTGGTTTTTGCCGGAAATTAAGGAAGGAAGAAATTAGGAAATTAGGCTTTGTACTGTGACTAACTTTAACTAAATTTACCCAAATTTTGGGGAAACTTCTGGCCGTCGTGCCCCACTCTTCACTATTTATAATGTTATATATAATAATTACAATTATTTATTAAGAGGTACTTAACAAAAAAAACGTTACTAATTAGTAGCTATTTTTTTATTGATTAAAAAAATTGTTATTAGTATTTGTAAGATTTTCTAAAGCTTTGGCTTAAGGCTAAATCCATAAAATTGTCCAAAAAATAACAATTTCAATAAGGGGGGGGGGGAGAGCCTACACGATAAAGAAGATTGAGACATATATCACAATTAAGGTAGTTTTTTTTTAATAAGAATAGTTTATTATTTATCTTGCTGTAAGGATGTAAAAGTAAAAATAACTTTTTTTTTCTGAAGGACACTGAAGATATTTCCTATTTCACAAAAATAAGTTTCTTTTAACCAAATTTCTACCATAATGGACAGTGTATTTTGAAAAAATCGCGCAACACAAAATAATTTTTCACTTCTGTATCCTATAGTCACATCCAGCTGCTTGAAAGTTTAATAGAGCATTACTTGTAAGTGATGAAATTTTGGCCTTTTTGTACTGAAGACGAGAATGGTTTTACTACTAAACTTTGTAGTTAAGCACTAACATAATTTGACCTTAAGTTGCGGCTCACATTTTTGATAAATGATATTAAATAAAAATATCATTAATTGATTTACCACGTGTTCTTTGTGCCAATATCAGGGGGGCTTTTTCTTGTTCATTCGCCTTTAAAGGGCAAGGTTGTGACGATTGGTCAATATCTGCAACCAGCGTGTCCTATTACAGTGAACGTGAAGCGATTTCAATAGAAATGTTTCTTAATTTGAAAAAAGGGGTATAAAAATATATTTTTATTCACATATATTTTTATTCACTTAACTGTATAGAATAAATAAATTCAGTTTTATTTTGTAAAAGAAAACATTTTTATTATTATCATAAGAAAGGATAGAGTTGGCAGAGAGGTCTGGCATTGCTGCGTACGTAAAGACGCAATATAGGCTAGAATTGTTGAGTATTGATTTTGTTACTAATCAACAAACTTAATATCTACAAAATTCTTTATGAACAACTTTACAATTTTTGTTGAAATACTAAGTGTGGTTTTCCTATAGGGTTTGGTAAGTCGATAGCTTTAACTAATGTATTGGATGACATTCTTCAAACTTGTGATAATAAAATTAGTTCTGTTTTAGGGCTTTTAGACTTTTCGAAGGCATCCGATAAAATTAATCACGAGTGACCCCAATGTGCTTTCAATACGGAACCTTCCAATCTTCTCGAATCTTACTTCACTTCAGTCAATTTTGTCAAATCAAAAATATTCGGACAAGGTAGACATTCTATCCGGTGTGCCTCAGGGATTAATTTTAGACCCACGGCTTTTCTTTATTTATACTTCTGATACTTTGAGATCTTTAAAATTCTGTAAAGTTGAAGTCTTCACATTACATACTTTAATGATGACCTTCAAACTTTAAATTTGTTGTCTCAAGGCCCGAACTAAAAACTTAATCCATATGTTGTAGTGTTTGGGAATGATACGAACGTTAACTTCCTAAAGAACAAATTAAATATAGTGATCAGCAACTCTAAATTTAATTTTAAAGATTGTGCCAACAATCTTAGAGAGCCAACTTAGATTCAGAGAACACTTAAAAGAATATTTCGAAAATCCTTTGCCTCCATGGAAGCTTTATATCATAATAGACATATTTTAGGTAGGTTAGTTTGGATCAGAAAAGGGAGAAGCTACACGGTACGAACTTGCCCCGCCCAGCTACGATTTTTCGAAAGCAATCTTTCGAAAATCGATGAAGTCGAATTTTTTGAAAGTATCTACTCTCGTATACAAATTTTATATCTCGGTAACGGTAGGTCCTACGGGATCGCCGTTGGTACAGATCACCGTCGAAAAAAAAATTTTTTTTTGTCCGTCCGTTCTCCGTTCTCGTCTTTTGGTTTTTCCTAAATAACTTTCGAACCGTTGGAGCTACAAAATTGAAATTTGTTTGCTTTTTAACCCTCCACTAGGCACATAAGCTTATAAGAAATGGCCCTGATCCGACGTCGGCATCCATCTTTTTTTTCACGATTTTCGATTGTTTTTTTAGACATTGCTATGAAACACGATAAGTGTCTGAAATTTGAAGCAATCGACTTCATGTTTGGCACATATATGCGGCTTTGCCCCGTGACGGAACCTATTGAAAATGGTGGAGCTGGGGGTCGGGAAGT